AAGATTTATTTATTTATTTGAAAGAATTGTAGAGAGGGAGAGACAGAGAGGTCTAACATCTGCAATGTCCAGGACTGAAACAGGCCAAAACCAGGAGCCAGGAGTTTGATCCAGGTCTCCCATGTGGGTGGCAGGGGCTCAAACACTTGGGCCATTCTCCTTTGTTTTTTCCCAGGCCATTAACAGGGAGCTGGATCAGAAGTGGAGCAGGGGGCCAGCACTGCGGCACAGTGGGTTAACACACTGGCTTGAAGCACCAGCATCCCATACGGGCACCAGTTTGAGACCCGATTGCTCCATTTCCACTCCAGCTCTCTGCTATGGCCTGGGAAAGCAGCAGAAGATGGCCCAAATCCGTGGGCCCCTTACCTGCATGGGAGACTCAGAAAAAGCTCCTGGTTTCAGATCAGCACAGCTCCGGCCATTGCAGCCAGTTGGGGAGTGAACCATCGGATGGAGGATCTCTCTCTCCTTTCTCTCTGTAACTCTGACTTTCAAATAAATAAATAAATCTTTAAAAAAAAGAAAAGTGGAGCAACTGGGACATGCACTAGCACCCACATGGAATGCTGGCATGATAGGCAGTGGCCTTACCCACTATGCCACAATGCTGGGCCCCATCACTCTGTCTTTCAAGTATGTAAATATATAAATCTTATTTAAAAATTATAATTTGTCTTGTCGGTTTTAAGGGACCAAGCTGGAGTCAAACACAAAACAAATATGCTTCCAAAGTCACGGCCTTGTACTGTATCTTTTTCTACTGGGATGGCTGCATCAGGCCTTTATCTTAAAGATACAGTTGCTGGGGCTGGCGCCGTGGCTCACTTAGTTAATCCTCTGCCTGCAGCGCTGGCATCCCCTATGGGCGCTTGGTTGTAGTCCCTGTTGCTCCTCTTCCAGTGCAGCTCTCTGCTGTGGCCTGGGAAGGCATTGGAGGATGGCCCAAGTGCTTGGGCCCCTGCACCTGCATGGGAGACCAGGAAGAAGCTCCTGGCTCCTGGCTTCAGGTCGGTGTAGCTCTGGCCGTAGTGGCCATTTGGGAGGTGAACCAACGGAAGGGAGACCTTTCTCTGTCTCTCTCTCTCTCACTGTCTAACTCTGTCAAATTAAAAAAAAAAAAAAAGTACAGTTCCCAAGGGGCTTGCCATGTGGCGTAGTAGGGTAAGCACCCACCTGCGGCTCTGGAATCTGATATGGGTGTCAGTTCTAGTCCCAAATGTTGTTCTTCTGATCCAGCTCCCTGCTATGGCCTGAGAAAGCAGTAGAAGATGGCCCAAGTGCTTAGGCCCCTGCACCCTCATGGAAGCCCCGGAAGAAGCTCCTGGCTTTGGATCAGCCCAGCTCCTGCCATTTGGGGAGTGAATCAGCAGGTTTAAGACCTCTAACTCTGCCTGTCAAGTAAATAAATCTTAAAAAAAAGAAAAAAACAGAAAGTGGAGTGGGCAGGAGCCACTGTGGTATAGCAGGAAAAAGCTGCCACCTGCAGTGCTGGCATCCCATTTGGGTGCTGTTTTGAATCCCGGCTGCTCCTTTCCAATGCAGCTCTCTGCTGTGGCCTGGGAAAGCAGTGGAAGATGGCCCAAGTCAGTGGTCCCCTGCGTCTGTGTAGGAGACCCAGCGGAAGCTCCTGGCTTTGAACTGGCCCAGCTCTGGCCGTAGCAGCCATTTGGGGAGTGAGCCAGCAAACGGAAGACTTCTCTCTTCTCTCTGCCTCTGCCTCTCTGTAACTCTGCCTTTCAAATAATAAATTAATCTGTAAAGACTCAGTTCCTAGGACACAGTGAGTCGTGTTCATCCCCTCGTAGGACAGACAGTGTGATCAGCATGGGTTTTCTTCTGGTGCAACGGGATTATGTTGCCACCAGCCTCTTTCTTTCTTTCTTTCTTTCTTTCTTTGGCAGGCAGAGTGGACAGTGAGAGAGAGAGACAGAGAGAAAGGTCTTCCTTTTCTGTCAGTTCACCCTGCAATGGCTGCTGCAGCCAGCGTGCTGCGCCGATCTGAAGCCAGGAGCCAGGTTCTTCTCCTGGTCTCCCATGCGGGTGCAGGGCCCAAGGACCTGGGCCATCCTCCACTGCACTCCCGGGCCACAGCAGAGAGCTGGCCTGGAAGAGGGGCAACCGGGAGAGAATCCGGTGCCATGACTGGGACTAGAACCCGGTGTGCCAGCGCTGCAGGCAGAGGATTAGCCTATTGAGCTGCTGCGCTGGCCACCAGTCTCTTTAAGTATAGCAGAAGCCAATGTCCTTGTTTAATTGTGTGAGCTGTAGCAGTTTGTAAGCCATGACCTGGGGCTGGCGTTGTGGCCCAGTGAGTTAAGCCACTGCCTGCAACGTCAGCATCCCCTGTGAGCACCAGTTCGAGTCCTGGCCTCCTCGCTTCTGAATCAGCTCCCTGTAAATGTACCTGAGAAAGCAATGGAAGATGGCCCACACCCTTGGGCCCCTGCCACTCAAGTGGGAGACACAAATGGAGTTCCAAGCTTCTGGCTTCTGCCTGGCCAGCCCTGCCCATTGAGGCTGTTTGGGGGTGGAAATCAGTCTCTGTCTCTCTGTCTGTCTCTTATCAAACTCTGCTTTTCAAATAAAACAAATCTTTGAAAATAAATAAGTAAACTCTTTGCTGTTCCCTCCTCTGCCCACAGCAGGTGGAGATCAAGCCCCAATTGTCTCCTGACTGGAGGTCATCTTCGATGCGTGTCAGACTGTTGGCTGGGGTGGGGGCAGAGCAGGCTGGTTACCCAGTGTCCTCGGCCATGTGCTGGTGTTCTCCCAGCAGCCTGGCGAGGCCTAGGCCCCTCTTCCCCATGCCACAGCTCTCTTGTCTTACGTGTTCAGATGTTGCCTTCAAGCTAGACAAACTTAACATGTATTTTCTCATGAAAGTTACTGTGGGAAAAAGAGCCATTTCCACCAGATTATTTGGATTTATGTATCTAAAGCAAATCGTTTCTTTACATATGCAGTGAGAGGTTGACTGCTGTGAACAGTAGTCATCGGAATCCTCACTTCCCTGCCAGTACTAAGCAGAGACTCTTTATGTTATGAAGGGGATACCCATCGGAAAATGTTACGGAACAGGCATTCAGCCTAGTGGCTGAGATTCCCGCGTCCATACTAGAGTACTCGGTTCAGTTACTGACTCGAGCTGCCTGCTAAGGCAGGCACTAGGAGGCAGTGGCGGTGGCTCCAATAACTGGGCCCCTGCTGCCCTTGTGGGAGACCTTGATTATACCCCCGGCTCTGACCCTGGCTTGTGAGCATTTGGGAAATGAACCAGCAGATGGTGTCTTTCTCTGTGTCTGTGAACTCTCTGCCTCTTAGATAAATGATATTTTTAAATTACATTTCCATTTAAATAATCAAAACATTGTGATATACACAACTGAAAATAATACACTATGACTTTTGGTAAAAAATGGCTGTTTTCTTTGTATATTTACTTAAGCCTCTTGGTTTTAAAGTACATACATTTTTGTGCTTTATTAAATAAGCTAATTTTTTGCGATTTTTAAGAAAATGAAATGTTAATAGAAACAGAAAAGCTTAGCGTGTGCTTGTGTTGCAGAACCCAGGAACGTGTGAGGAGGCGGTGTCTGCCTGCAGCGCACTGCTCAGTCCAGGCGCTGTGGACATGTTGGCCAGTGGCTTCCTGGGCCTGTGGCACACGCTGGGGTCTTCTCCCTCAGGAAACTTGAGTGTCAGCGTCGGCGTTTCTGTGTTACAGGTATCAGCGCCGTGCAGAGTGGGCCGCGGAGCTCATGCGCAGGCAGGGCCAGGAGGAGAGCGCAGTGCGCCGCATCCTCGAAGATTTCACGCGGCCACTGGAGCGACCTCGGGTCGGAAGGGCTAAAGGCGGCCAGTTGCATGGTGAGCCTCGCTCAGAGACGGCGTCCACCAGCGAGGGCACAGCAAGGAGCAAGACACTGTCTGTGACCAACGGGGACTCCGAAAAGGCGGGCAGTGCAAGCCAGCCCTCGGACTGCCTGCAGGAGGGCCCTGGGCCCGAGCCACTGAGCACAAACAGCTTGGATGAGTATGTGCCGGAAGACCCCACGCCTAAGCCCCAAGTCGGTCGCTGTGAACAGGACGGCCTCGCCCCTGGATGTGGCTCCCAGCCCAAGGACAGCAGCCGTGGGGCAGAGCTCCCCTGTGCTGACCAGGAGTGCGTGCTGGTGGAGGAGGTGGTGTGCGATGGGAGCCCGAGGGAGGACGCCCCAGCTGGGGAAGTAAGTGGAAGAAACCCTGGAGCCCCTGGCCCGTGGCATTGCTCTCCCTGGGGGTAGCCCTCAGCAGTTTGAGAGAGACTTTTTCTTTTTCTTTTTTTAAAGATTTATTTAATTATTTGAAAGTCAGAGTTACACAGAGAGAGGAGAGGCAGAGAGAGAGGTCTTCCACCCGATGGTTCACTCCCCAGTTGGCTGCAACAGCCGAGCTGCACCGATCCAGAGCCAGGAGCCAGGAGCTTCTTCCAGGTCTCCTGCGCAGGTGCAGGGGCCCAAGGACTTGGGCCATCCTCTACTGCTTTCCCAGGCCATAACAGAGAGCTGGATCGGAAGAGGAGCAGCCGGGACTAGAACCGGCGCCCATATGGGATGCCGGTGCTTTAGGCCAGGGCGTTAACCCACTGCGCCGGCCCCGAGAGACTCTACGTGACGTGACTGTCACTGCAGCGTACTGTCAGATTCTTCTGTTTTATTACCACTGTTCTCATCACCATCATCATCATTATTGAACTCTGACCGTGCCTGACAGGTGAATTAGGCTTTATCATAGATACGTAAGTAGAGGAAGAACAGTGTGAACAGTGTTTAGATCTGTCTGAGGCTTGGGCGGGGGTTCTTGGAACATCCCCCCCAGACAAGGGGGACCACCACTTGGAACACCGCCTGGTTCCGCCCATGGGAGGTGGGATGTGAGGCCTGTCCTAAGTACGGCGTGTGTGTCCAGGAGAGCCTGGATCCCCCCCTCCAGGAGCACAGCACCTGTGAGCTGTTTCTACTGAAACCTCAGTGTTTGTGCGTAACTTTTTGAACACTGTGAGAACGGGACTGATAACACTGTCGCCCTTGTTCTGGAGAAAAAGAAGCGCAGTGGTAATCACACAGTGTAGTGTGGGGCAGGTGCCGGCGTGGAGAGGTCGCCACCACGGAGAAGTTACAGGAAGCAGAAGGGTCGTCTCCCCACCGGCCCCTGCAGGAGCCGGCACGAGAAGCTTCCTGACGAGCGAGTGCTATGTGGAAAGCCCACCCTCTGAACTCTTCTCGGGAGATAGGCACGTGGCACTTGAGGTACAGTGAAGTGAAAAAACGGCGACTCAGAAATTCACTGAAATGATCACAACTCCTTGAAAATTCAAGGGGGAAAAGGAAATGAATCAAATGTTCCTGGTGCGAAAATTCAGATTGCCTTTTCCACGTAAGTAGTGAGAGATCCTTTACAGTATCGAGCCAGCAGCCAGGCACCTTGGGGACAGATGAGAAAATGTCGTTTTGCGATTCAGTCTCCCACGCGATGTACGAGCTTCCAGCCATTATGTGTGTGGTTTCTTTTTCTTTTCTTTCCAGTTGGTGCAGAGAAGGCAATTAGTGTGCAGAAGAAATCCATACAGGATCTTTGAGTATTTGCAGCTCAGCCTCGAAGAGGTATGTTGTCCCGTTCACGTCAGCTCCTGGGCAGCCCTGCACCCGGGAGCCTCCCTCACGGCGCGATTCGGGTCCCGAGTTAGTGACTGAATATTGTAACTCAGTGTAGGAGTTGGCTCAGGTAACTCAGCACAGGCCTGCCCACAGTTCACTGCTCGCATTTTATGTCCTCGTTTTTAAGATGTGTGATTGAGAGGACATATCTGTCATTCCACAGAGCATTCAAGCAATTTGACCGCTTTTTATTTTTTAAGATTTATTCATGTGTTTATTCTTTTACTTATGTATACGGTGGAATGACAGGGAGAAAGAGATCTTCTGTTCACTGATTTGCTCCCCAAATGGCATCAACAGTCAGATCTAGGCTGAAGCCAGAAGCCAGGAACTCCATCCTGGCCTCCCACATGGGTGACAGGGGCTCAACACTCAGGCCATCATCTGCTGCCTTCCCAGGCACCTAACGGGGCGCCGGAATGGCATCAGAGCAGCCAGGATTCAGATCAGTGCCCCAGTATGGGATGCTGGTCTCAGGCAGTGGCTTAACGCGCTCTGCCACAACGCCAGCCTTTGAACACTTTGTTCAACTTTATTTTATGTATTTGAGAGGGAAAGAGAGACACAGATTTCACATTTTCTGATTTACTCCCCAAATACCTACAACAGCCAGGGCTGGGCCAGGCTGTAGCCAGGAGCCAGGAACTCAGTCTGGGTCTTTCACATGAGTGACAGGGACCCAGCTACTTGGACCCTTACATGCTGTCTTCAGGTGTCCGTTAGCAGGTAGCTCAAGTTGGAAGCAGAGCCAGGGCTTGAACCAGACACTCCATTACAGGTTGAAGATGTCCCAAGTAGCGCCTCAGCTGCAGATGCCTCTGCTCCCTGAGCACCTTGCACGTCAAGATTTCAGTGTGGCTGAATATTGTTAATTTACACAGCTGTACTGAGGTGTTCGCCTACCATGGAGTTCATCGACTCAAAGCTTGTGACTCACAGGTTTGGGATGTGTTCACAGCATTTCACCAGCCTTTGATAAGCTCTCGTGCGTGATTCGGATCATGTGACTGCTCCTTGGGCAGGGGACTCTGGGTGTCTCCTTCCGCACCGTCCCTTTCACTTCCTGCAGAGTTCTTTCTGGAGCTTCATCACTTTGTCCCTGCAGCTCAGGGCTCCCCATCCTGTGACCACCGTCATTCAGTCCCCCCTCTTGTCCCTGCGGCTCGGGGCTCCCCAGCCTGTGACCACCGTCATTCAGTCCCCTCTTGTCCCTGTGGCTCGGGGCTCCCCATCCTGTGACCACCGTCATTCAGTCCCCCCTCTTGTCCCTGCGACTCGGGGATCCCCAGCCTGTGACCACCGTCATTCAGTCCCTCCTTGCCCGTGTTTTTACCGCACACAGCAGTGCCCTTCCTGCCGTGGCAGATGGCACCCCTTCCTGCAGGAGCTCTGTTGAGCTTCTCAGTTCCTTACTCAGTTCATTACAGGCGTGTTCAGTGTGCAGCGCAGTTCCCGTTAGTGAGGAGGGCACTCCCCCAGTGCTCACCGTTGCTGCCGCCGTGTAGCACGTGTGCTCTGTCTGTCAGCCTTTGCTGTGACCCTAGAATGGCACGTACACAGCAGAAGTGCAGTCAGCCCCCAGTATCTGCCAGGGACTGGTTCTGTGGCCCAAGGACACCACAACCTCTGGGTGTTCAGGCCCCTTCTGTACAGCTGTGTGACACTTGCGCAGAGCCTGCACACGTCATTTCTAGATGACCTCGCGTGCCTGCTGCGGTGAGATGCTGTGTAGGAAGTTGTCACACTCCAGCGGGCATGGGGAGCCTTCCTACTGCCGAAGGCACATCATTCCCAGGACATACAAAATTATGAGCTTAAAATTAGCCTGCTGTGGGTTTACTGGATTTCAGGTCCTGCCTGTGGTTGCTTTGGCAGGGCCAGATATTCCTGTTAAGGAATAAAGACAAGAGGAAAAATACCCATCATCAGTACAGGTACTGTTCTTTTTTTTTTTTTTTTTTTTTTTTTTGAGAAACAGCTCCTGTCTGCTGGCTCCCTCCCCAAATCCTGCAGAGACAGGGGCTGAACTGGGCCCACGCTGAGAGCCGTGAATGCTGTCCACGTCTCCTGTGAGTGGCAGGAACCCAGTTATCTGAGTCATCGCGGCCGCCTCCCAGGGTCTGCATTAGCAGGAAGCTGGAATTGGGAGCCAGAGCTGGGTATTGTACCCAGGCACTCTGATGGGAGATGCAGGCTTCCTATCTTAACATCTTTTTTATGTTTTTTTTTTTAAAGATTTATTTGAAAGGCAGAGTCACAAAAAGAGAGATCTTCCATCCACTGGTTCACTCCCCAAGTGGCCACAATGGCCAGGGCTGGGCCATGCTGAAGCCAGGAGCCAGGAGCTTCATCCAGGTCTCCCATGTGAGTGCAGGGGCCCCAGCACTTGGGCCATGTTCCACTGCTTTCCCAGGCACGTTAGCAGGGAACTGGATCGGAAGTGGGCAGCCAGGATATGGACTGATGCCCATATGGGAAGCCAGCATTGCAGGCAGCAGCTCAGCCTGTTACTTCACATGTCAGCCCCATAACTAATATCTAAACCACTAGGCTAAACTCCCTCCTTTTCTGAATGCTTTTGATGGGAAGATGACGGAATCTGCAAGCGGAGAAGCCTGGGATGCGGATGCAGAGAGCCATTGTATTCTGAGTCCTCGGTCTTCGGGACACAGTGAGGAGGTCCCGTTGGTAGCGTGTGCTCTCCCCGGTGGGGCACCTGGAAGTATAATTGAGGCATGCCAGATGGCGTCTTCAGATCCCACCTGCGGCTTGCTGTCCTCTGCTTTTAGCCCGTGATGCCTGCAGCCTTTGTGAGCCGGGCATGGTGATGATTTCATGTTCTTGCTGTGTGGGTATTCATTTCAGGGGTGATTCAATTGCTGTGCCGATGAGCTCATTGGCTCTGGCGCTTCTAAGAGATCTGATACCAAGATCTGTGTTTCCATTACAGTGCTTCTGGGCCCTAAGTAGATTTAGCAGCGGATGTTAAAAACCATCACTGGGGGCAGGCGTTTAGCCGAGTTGGTAAACCCACACCCCAGATTGGAGAGCTTGCGTTTGATTCCTGACTCGGGCTCCTGATGGCAGCTTCCTGCTGGAGCAGACCCTGGGAGCCAGCAGGTGGCGGCCCATGTAGTTGAGACCCCGAAGCTATGTAGGAGATCTGGATTGCAGTGCCGGCCATGGTGGCCATTTCAGGAGGGAGCCAGCAGATGGGAGCTCGCTCTCTCTCTTTGCCTCAAACAGAATTTTTAAGAAGCCATCTCTCCATCTTATTAGTACCATAAAAGTAAGAACGCGTGAGGTTCTGTGACCCATGGTCCCTGACCTCCACAGTCTGGTGATGCTTCCATTCTCAACAAAACCAGCTCAGTTGAAGTAAGGTTGTCCCCATCTGTGATAAGTGCCCAGCAGCGGTCTGCATGAACTCATAAACAACACCAGCATTTTAGGCAAGTGAAAATGAGGCATTGGTTCTACCATACTCGGGGAAGTGTGTGTTTGCTTAGAAACGGGGGAGAGACCTCTTGTTAGGAGAGAAGTGAATTGAACTTGTCCAGGCTCTGCTCCCTTGGGGGTCTTTAGGAGGGATTGGGGGTAGGGGGGCTACAGTTGATGAGTTGATTGAGCCTTCAGGTGCTTTGCAGAGCTTATGAAATCTTCATGAGATTTAACCTCCAGAATTCCTAACCAGAGGGGTTTAGACGAGGCACTGAGAATTGAAGTCCAGGCCCCAGCTGATGGCAATGACTTGAACCCAGCCCCGGCAAATCACAAACTTGATTCTTCATGTTTCATTGTTGTGAATGAAGAAGCACAAATTTTGACAAAATGAAGGGACTGAACCGTTTGAGGAAACAACCTTGTCTTTTCCGCTGCATGTTAGGGCTGCTGCCTGTGGTCTGTCCAAGAAACAGTGGTGGTGTGTGATAATAAGGAGTGGACGGTGAGGAAGGGTGGCCTGGAAGGCAGGGGGCAGCAGCTCAGAGAACAGGAGGGGAGGGGAGCTGGGGCGGTGCAGGGGCATCCCAGAGTGGCCCTGGCGCTGTGGGCTTCAGCAAGGGCAGGATCTGGGGGCCTCTCTGTTTGTGCACGCAAGCCCATCCTCAGCCAGCGTGCACGTTCTAGTTGCAGACACAGGGAAAAGAGTGATGTTCAGAGGAAGAGGACTGCTCTGATGAACACAGGATGGGGTTACGTGGACCGGGCGGTCAGGAAGGACTGGCTGAGAGGGGGTCTGTGAGCGTGGGAGGAAAGTGCCAGACGGCAGGAGTAGCAACTGCAAAGGCGTAACTGAGCTTAGTGGCTTCAGAGACCAGAAGGGCGGCCCACACAGCTACAGGAGGGAGCCACACTGGGCAGGGACATTGCTGGCCCCAAAGGGCATTTTAAAAATCTGTCAGCATTTACTGTTTCATAAGTTGAAACAAAAATCTTGCATATTGCAGCTGGCGCTATGGTGTAGTGGGTTAAGGTACCATCTGCAGTGCTGACATCCCAAATGGGTACCAGTTGGAGTCCTGGCTGTTCCACTTCTGATCCAGCTTCCTCCTAATGTGCCTGGGAAAGCAGCAGAGGATGGCCTAAGTGCTTGGGCCTTTGTACCCACAAGGGAGACCTGGAAGAAGCTCCTGGCTCCTGGCTTTGGCCTGACCCAGCCTCAGCTGTTGCGGCCATTTGGGGAGTGAACCAGTAGGTAGACGATCTCAATCTCTCTCCTTTGTCTGTATCTCTGCCTTTCAAATAAATAAATCTTTTTTAAAAAATAAATCTTTTTTAAAAATTTATTTTTTTGAAAGAATTAGAGAGAAGCCAGCGCCACGGCTCACTAGGCTAATCCTCCACCTTGCGGCGCTGGCACACCGGGTTCTAGTCCCGGTTGGGGCGCTGGATTCTGTCCCGGTTGCCCCTCTTCCAGGCCAGCCCTCTGCTGTGGCCAGGGAGTGCAGTGGAGGATGGCCCAGGTGCTTGGGCCCTGCACCCCATGGGAGACCAGGAAAAGCACCTGGCTCCTGGCTCCTGCCATCGGATCAGCGCGGTGCGCCGGCCACAGTGGGCTGAACCAACGGCAAAGGAAGACCTTTCTCTGTCTCTCTCACTGTCCACTCTGCCTGTCAAAAAAAAAAAAAAAAAAAGAGAAGGAGAGGCAGAGAGAGAGGTCTTCCATCTGCTGGTTCACGTCTCACTTGGCCGCAGAGGCTGGAGCTGTGCATCCCTGAAGCCATCTTCACTCTCCCAAGTGCATTAGCCGGAAGCTGGATTGAAAGTGGAACAGCCGGCACTCGAACCATGTTGATATGGGATGCCGGCACTGCAAGTGGTGGCTTTACCCGTTACACCACTGCACCGGCCCCAAATAAATCTTTGTTTTTAATTTAGATATGAAAATGACATTTTTCCAACACACTTTTAAAAAAAGCTCAGATGGTCCTGTTACTCATTTTTGCAAATCACACGAAGACCTGGGCTTGGGGAAGTCTGTTGGGTCCTCCGCTGCTCCTGTGTGTCTGCCGTGCTGTTGCCCAGCTCCTGGGTGCTGGGCAGGAAGAGCATGAGTGAGGCAGATAATACCAGAAGATGATCATGCCGTGGTTTTGGCTTTGAGATCTGCAAGGGGTATGGGGGCCCCAGGATGCCCTGACCACGCTCTAAGAAATGTCGGGAGGCCAGGCAGAGCTCAACACTGCTGCACCAGGTCGCTTCCTGAGGGGTCCCCAGGACAGCAGCTGCTCAGAGCCTGACTCTGGACCGCCGTGCTCCCCTGGGTGCTGTGGCCTGTTGTGTGTGTGCGGGATTTGGGTAGGGCATGGGGAGCCATGAGGAGGCCGTCAGAGTGAATGCTGTGTGCCAGATCTCGCCCCGCTGCTGTGTCTCTGACCCTGGCTGCTGTGACAGCAGAGGGATCGGATGCAGGATTGGGCGTGGTTTGGTTTTGAATCTCATCTTTCTCCCTCATACTTGCAAAATAACCCAGTCTTACTGCCAGCTGCCACTGAGTCACCTGCTGCACCCCAGCCCCCACACCCCTTCTAGTCTGGACCCATGGAGCCTCGTCACCCACACAGTTGAAGCCAGCAGCACGCGGCTGTTGGTGTCGGTGCTTGGCTGTGATCGTTTTTATCAGAGAGCCGTGTTTATTTCCACTCAGGTGTGATTTTATTCAGGAGGACCAGCTTTATTCGCCGTTATTCCTCCAGCCTCCCGTGCGTGCATTTGTGAAGATCCTGTCGCCATGCCATGAAGCTGATAGATACACCTTGCCATCATACACATAGACTGCACAGCAGGGGCGACCCAGAAACTTCTGCTTTGTTGTTTCAGCTGCGTTTGCACTGCCCCACACTTCGCACAGAGCTTTTGCCTGTTGTTTTTCTCAGCTTGACGTGGTTTTCAAGGGAGGCAATCCCCTGAGCATTTTTAGTCACAGCAATCTGTTGTAGCTGTAGACACTCTTCAGTTAAATTATGTAGATTTTTAGGATGAAAATACATTATGTGAAAATTCATACAGCTGTTTTGTTTCTTACTGGTTTAAGCCAGTTAGTACCATTCTTGTTTTCTTAGGTTTGTTTTTTTGTTTTTATTTTTTTCAGTTTGAACCATGCAAGAAATATGTGACCATTTGATGATGATCAACAAATTAACTTGTTTGGCTTAATTCTCCATATGCTTGCATCCCCTATCAGAGTGCCTGGGCTCCCAGCTTCTCACTAATGCAGACCTAGGAAGAAGTGGTGATGACCCTGGTGGACTGGGCTTCTGCCACCTGTATGGGAGACCTGGATTGAGTTCCTGACTCCTGGTTTCAGCCTGGCCCTGCCCAGCCCTTGCTGGGGAGTATACCAGCCGAGAAAGCTGTTTCTAACAGCCTCAGAGAGAGGGAGAGAGGGAGAAGGAAGGAAAGATAAATGCGAAGAATGAACTTGATTTGTGAGTGAAGAGCTATCAGTCTGTAAGATAGTTAACGGGAATGGAGCGATGTCTAATGAGTGTTTCCCGTTTGCTCCGTTTTCAGGCCTTCTTCCTGGTGTACGCTCTGGGCTGCCTCAGTATTTACTATGAGAAGGTGAGATGTTTGCTTTGTTTAATCCCCTTCGTGCCAGAAGCGGGCCTGCTAGTGCCGGTACTGTTTAACACATTTCTGCGTCCTGGAACAGACTGGAATAGGGTGTGATGCGTGACAGGCCAGGTGTAGTTTGTGCATTTCCCACGTAAGATACACTCAACTTAGGAAGGGTTTATTGGTACCGAAGTAAGGGAGCATCTGTAAATCAAATAAAAAAGGAACGGTGAGCAGAACAGCAGGTAGGAACAGAGTGTATTTCATTCTGTTCTTGGGAGCACATAATTTTATCATCCGTCTGCCTGTAAGTGCATCGGGCTTTTTCACCAGCATCCCAGTGATTTGGAAACAGGAGTCTGGCCACACGTGACTTGCTTTCCCACGAGGTGCCCATTCCCGGCCCCAGTGTGCCTCTCGGCCTCAGCTGGAACCTGCCGGACAATTCTAGCAGCGCTGGAGTCAGCCTCTGGAAAATGCGGGGCTGGCCGCGCTGGGAGCCCAGCTCTCCTGCAAGGCCGCGGCTTGTCCCCGCAGGGCTGGGGTGCTTCCTTGCATGGGGTTCGAAGGCCTCTTGGGTGTGGCATTTCACGTTAGCAACAAGAAAGGAAAAGAAAAGCCGACTCTGGCTCGTCTGTGGAGTTCAGTCAGAGCCTGAGGCACACTGAGCCGAAGCGACTGAAGACTTGATTGGCTTGAGTGTCACAACAGCACTGAAACGAAGTGAAAAACTTTCCAAACTTGGTTTTAGTTTGTTGTTGTATTATTTTTTATTGTTGAAGCCCCAGAATATTCTCTGAACCAAACATTTCTTTACAATAAGAAATAGAAAATCTTTTGAGCACTTGCATTGTTAGTTTATGCCATCAGGTAGCTGATCACTAATTTGGAGACTAAATGGAGCCGCGTTTTTTCCTGAAACTTTTACACAATGGTTTTCACCTTTCCCGATCTCACCTCGTTGAGGGTCTGTGAGACCCAGGTTTCTCTGCCTGGAAATTCCCTCCCCAGCCCCCATCTCGTCCAGGACCCTTCACCCACCCTTGGCCACTTCTCATTCTCAAATGTTGCCTTCCTAAGTCTCCAGAGCTGAGCTGAGAGACAGAACGGCAGCCTCCAGTGGGAGCCACGTGTGTCCTGTTAGATTTTATTCGTAGCCTCACTAAAGAAAGCGTACAGAGAAAAGCAGGTGAAATTAGTTTTAGTGTCAGCTTGCACAGGTTCCTTACTCCAGCGTGCTGGGATGGTGGAGGCTGTTTGCCCTGGAACTCTGTTTTCCTCTTAGTCCCCCTCAGCACCTGATGACTCGTGTGGCTAGGGGCTGCTCCTGCTGAAGCCCTCTGTTGGGGGTTCATTGGCTGCTTCAGCTCCACCCTGAGTGTCAGTGGTGACCCACTGGCTGAGTGGTGAGTCAGTTCATGCGTAATAATGCATTCCTTTGCTTGTTTTTAACTTAGGAACCTTTAACGATAATGAAACTCTGGGAAGCCTTCAGTGCAGTGCAGCCCACGTTCAGGACCACCTACCTGGCCTACCACTATTTCCGAAGCAAGGGCTGGGTGCCCAAAGTGGGGCTCAAGTACGGGACGGACCTGTGTAAGTGGCCCTTGGTGTGGTAGACGTGAGCCCAGGGTTGTTGCAGGGTCACCGTGGAAGATGGAGTTGGTTCTGTGTGCCTCTGCGGATCTTTTCAAAGGTCTCCTCCTCTGCCTTAGAAAGAATGTTGGGGGGTTAGTGTTTGGCTCAGTTTAAGACGCCACTTGGGACCCCCACATCTCATGTTGGGGTGTTTTGTTGTGAGTCTTGGCTTCTGATCCAGCTTCCTGTTCATATTTCTACCAGCCATGTGAGAGACTCGGATGGAGCTCCAGGCTCCTGGCTTTGGCCTGATTCAGCTGTGGGTGTTGCAGGCATATGAAAAATAAACCATAGGATGAAAGATTCTGTGCCTTTAAATAAACACATAGCTAGATAAATTAAGAAAAAATAGGTTAAAAAAAGGAAATGGGTGGTTAGGACTGGGGTGGAGAGCATGGTCAGAAAGCAAAGGCCACATTCATTTTCGCATTTTCGTGCTAGGGTAGGTCATTGGCCTGAACCGTGCGTGGCGGGGCTGTGAATTCTGGGTCCCCGCTCTTAGAAGCTTCCTCGCAGGACCGCGTCCCAGGCTGTCCTCAGGTGAGGGCTCTCCACGCAGCATGTAATTCCCGAGGGCAGCTGTGGGCCTGGTGCTGTTCTAGGTTCTGAGAATACAGAGGTGAACCAGGCGAACACTTGGGAGGGGAGGGCTGGAGGCGCTCAAAGACAGGGAATTTCAGGGACTAGGAAGTGCTGGAAAGGAGCGAAAGCCGAGTGAAGAAACGGGGGGGAAGGGTGTTAGACTGCCCGGGAACGGACGCTGAGAAGACGGGAACGCAGGGAACCAGCAGCTTAAAGAGCACGCCGGGCAGGGTGAGCAGCCGCACACACCGCGAGGCAGGGCCGGGCAGGCAGAGGCGCGTGGAGGGGTGGTCGGAGGGGACGTCTGGGCCCTCGCAGACACGCTGCACGTTTTTGGATGGGAATCCTGGGAAGACTGTCAGCAGAGGAGCGGTGGACTGCAGTGACTGTTTACCAGCCCCTCTGCCTGCTGTCCGGCGAATGACGAGGGGGCAGAATGGAAGCAGAGACTTGCAGGGGGAGCTGAGCCCTGCAGATGAGCTCCAGACTAGTTTGCTAGGTTCCAGGACAGTTGTGTTGGCCACAGTCCTCACCTTTTAAATAAGTGATGGGCCTGTACGTTTTTCTTCACTGGATTCTCACCTGGTTCTCCTTTTCGTGCCTCATAAGAGTAGCCACTTGGGGTGCAGGAGTGCCCTGAGAGCTGGCCAGGTCAGGAGGAGAGCTCGGGCTCCCGGCCAGCCCTGCCTCTTAGTGCTATGCGACTCAGACACATTCCTTAATCCCCGTGAGCTTGCGTTTGCCCTTGGTGGTGAGGACACCGCCTCTGGAACACCTGTGATGCCGTCCGCCTAGGAGGCCTCTTCCGCTGCAGCGCAGTGTCGTCCGTGGTCTAGCTGATACAGAGAACAGACTTCCCCAGGTTAAAGGATGGCTGGAGACATGGATGGAGACATGGATGGATGGATGGGCAAACATTTGAAAGAGAAAAGGAAATTGCTGAATTGACAACTTCCTGGAGGCCATTGCCTCTGTTGGGACCCGTTGTCCTTTCCTGGTCACTGTGCAGTCCACGTGGTACCAGGTCTGTGGCTCCTGTGCACAGCCAGACTGGCCGGGCAGCATTGGCCAGGGTCTCCTGATGGTCCCTGTGCTTGCGCAGGCGGGGCTGCGTGGACTTGCTGCTTTTTAACAGTATTAGAGTTAGTCTGCAGGCTGGTGGCCTAGTCACATGTACCCTGCAACTGCCAAGGTGGGTGAGACCCAGGACAGCCTCTCTGAGCAGTGCTTTGTCCTCAGAGGTGAAGGGCATTGGGACGCTCGCTTCTTAGCAAGGAAACCTCCCTGAGTGAACCTTGTCGGTCACATTTCATCCAGGAGCAGTGCTCAGAGCAGGTGACGCAGCTCAGGTCAGGTGCAGCTGCCGAGCTCCTTGACCTTGGGTTGCCCTTGGGGAGAGCAGGACCAGGAGCCCAGAGCCGTGCCGCACGCTGCCGCTCACCAGCTCCCTGGCTGCTGCCTTCCTGTGTTCTGCTGTCCACCTCCCCGCTCTCCCTGCGTTGTTCGCCTCCTTTTGGAGTCCTGCAGTTACAGAATACAGAGTGCGGGGCCGCCTGGCTCTGAGCTCCGTCCTCCCACCGCACCTGACGAACGCCAGCCCCCGCCCGGCACAGGCTTGCACTGCTGCTTTGTCCTCACAGTGGTGGGATGACCGAAAGGTCCGGTAACTCCCAGGTGTCCACCACACCCCCTCCAGTTTTATCTTCTGTTGAAGTTTTATTTATTTTTATCTCTTTGAAAGGCAGAGTGACAGAGACCTTCCATCTACGGGCTCACTTCCCAGGTGCCTGCAACAGCCATAGCTGGGCCAAGAAGAAGGGAGTCTGAAACTCCACTAGGGTCTCCATGCAGCAGGACCCAAGTACGGCTTCCCAGGGTGTGCACAGGCAGGAAGCCGGATTGGAAGTGGAATGGGGACTTGAACCCAGGCACCCTGATTGAGCTGCAGGTATTCCAAGCAGCACCTCAACGGCTGTTAGCCAGAGGCCCGCCCCACCACTCCAGCTTTGGGTTTGCCCTGAGTGAATTTGGTCACGTGATTTCTCTGCTCCCTGATGTCCCAGAATGGAAGTGGCCAGCAGGAACCATTCAAAGCCAACAGGGAGCTGACAGCTAGTTCTGAGCCCACAGGAGGGTGCTTGGGGCAGCTCTGGACTTGTCACAACAAGGAGATGGGTCTTCCTCCCAGCTCCCTTTCTGGTTCTTTGCTAAACTATCTTCTTGGCTTATTTTTCTAGTCAAACTTTAATATTTTTGTTAACTTCTCCATATTTGCATACGTAATCCATCTTAACCTAAAGTACAGGCTGCATGCAGCTCCAAAGAATGCCATGTAGTGCCGAAGAAAAATAAGAAGTAGTCTGAGGGCTGGCATCCCATATGGACGCCGGTTCATGTCCTGGCTGCTCCACTTCCAATCCTCCTCTCTGCTATGGCCTGGGAAAGCAGTAGAAGATGGCCCAAGTCCTTGGGCCCCTGCATCTGCGTGGGAGACCCAGAAGAAGCCCCTGGCTCCTGGCTTCGGATCAGCGCAGCCCTGGCCGTTGCAGCCCTCTGGGGAGTGAACCAGCGGGTGAAGGACCTCTCTCTCTCTCTGGAGTCAGGGGCACACTTTGGAAGCTTTGTCCTTCTACTTGGCAGGCATTTTTGTAAACAAATAAGTCACCTTTTCCTGTGATTTCACTATCATTACAATTATCATTGGTCACTTTTTAAATAAAATTATTTACCAAAGAGAGAGAAAGAGCTCCCCAGTTGCTCACAATGCCCACAGCACCCACAGTGGCTGGGGCAGGTAAAACTCAGTGCATGTGAGTGCTAGGCCCCGATTACTGAGTCCATCGCTGAGGCTGGGAATCAAACCCAGGCACTCTGGTCTGAGACACTGGCATCTTAATTAGCACACTAACCACTAGGCCAAACACCGCTGATACTGTGCTGCTTCCACTGCTTCTCCTGTTTTCCATGAGGAAGTCACAGCGTGGGGAGTTGTCACTCGGTCGTGGCACTGCCAGGCCTCGGGCTCATCTGCTGCCAGCGTCCAGGCTTTTAGCTTCTGCCTGCTGGGTGGGCGTGTGCTGCTGTCCAGACACTGGTGGCATTGAAGACATGAGTTTGCTCGCAGGTGATGCATGTCAGGGCTGGAAAATTCTTACTTTCCCTTAGTGCCTTCATTTTAGAAACAGGCTTAGGGAAGTTAATGATTTTTTTTTTTTCTTTTTTTTCTTTTTTTTTTTTTTTTTTTGACAGGCAGAGTGGACAGTGAGAGAGAGAGACAGAGAGAAAGGTCTTCCTTTTGCTGTTGGTTCACCCTCCAATGGCCGCCGCGGTCGGCGCGCTGCGGCCGGCGCACCGCGCTGATCCGATGGCAGGAGCCAGGAGCCAGGTGCTTTTCCTGGTCTCCCATGGGGTGCAGGGCCCAAGCACCTGGGCCATCCTCCACTGCACTCCCTGGCCACAGCAGAGAGCTGGCCTGGAAGAGGGGCAACCGGGACAGAATCCGGCGCCCCGACCAGGACTAGAACCCGGTGTGCCGACGCCGCTAGGCGGAGGATTAGCCTAGTGAGCCGCGGCGCCGGCCGGGAAATTAATGATTTGCATCAAGTTTCCCGTCCTGCCCTGGCAGAGATGAGCAGAAAGCACACTGTGGGTTCACGTCCACTCCGGCGTGTGGTTGCCTTCCGCTGTACCGCATCTCCGAAGGCTGAGTGTGTGTCCCCATGTTTACTCAGATTGTTGCTTCAGTGAATTCGAACCCACTCGCCCGGTACTGTAAATACTGTCTGAGTAAGAGTGTAATAAAAAGGACGCGAGGTCGTGAGAAACGGCAGGGAGCGAGGCTCGGTGGCTGCGTACTGCGTCGTCCCGGGGCTCCTCTACGGCTGTGGCTGTCGGGCTGAAGTCTGCTGTGAGCGTCCTGCGTGGCCGCAGGGCTGCTCCGTGGAAAAGGACGTAACCCAATCCCTCAGGGCAGGCAGAACTCCTCCAGGTTTCCCGAGTTGGTTTTAGCCCAGGGGCAGCTAAGAGTTTGCCAACACTGTGCACTTTGGGGGTGACTCCCTTAGCTGTAGTTACGTATAAACCCGAGTCTGTTCCTGTGAAATCCCAAGTGCATGTCTCACTGGTGGCGGATCCACTCCCAGAAGAGTCGCGGTTCTCACGGCCTCCGACACCCCGCCTGCTGGGTCGCCTTCCTGAGGAACCAGGCGCAGGCTGTGTGTGCAGCGAGTCCTACAGGCAGGCCTGGGGGCGTCACCCAGCAGAGTGGGGGGCCAGGGTCTTGGCCACAGGTTTGTCTGGTTGACTGTACTTGGTTTTGGGGGGGGGGGGGCTGTATTTTGGAAATAGCCCAAGGCGTGTGGAGATGACCTGCACGGACGGTTCGGGGCTGGCTCACCTCTGCAAAAGCAGAGAGGAAGCTGCCGAGTTGGAGCGGTGGTTCATCGCCTGTTTCTCCTCCTTTACAGTGCTCTACCGGAAGGGGCCTCCGTTCTACCATGCAAGGTTTGGAGCCATTTTTTTTCAAGATTTACTTATTTTTGGTATCAGAGGGAGAGGGAGAGCTAGAGAGAAAGAGAGATTTCTTCCATCTGCTGGTTTACTGCCCAGGTGGCCAGCACTGGCCCATGCCACAGCCAGGAGCTTCATCTGGGTCTCCCGCATGGGCGCAGGGGCCCAAGCACTTGGGCCATCCTCTGCTGCTTTTCCTAGGCCATTAGCAGGGAGCCGGATCGGAAGTGGAGCAGCCAGGATAGGAACCAGAGCCCATTTGGGATGCCCGCATGGCAGGCGGTGGGCTTTACCCGCTGCGATGCAGCACTGGACTCTAGATAGAGATTTTTCTAAATAAGTTAATGGGTTGGAGGGACATGAGGAAATTTCTAGCCTCTCGTTGTAGTTTTCAGTGCCCTAGAAACAAGTCGTGCTCTTCTTGGCTTGAGAGGAGCAGGTGTTCTGTGCCCATGACTCAGCTCGAACTGCATCCGGCGGCAGGAAGTTGAGAGGTGAGGGTGCCACCTGTCCTGGAGTTCAGCATTCAGTCCGTCCGTGTGATAGGCGCTCGTGTGTAAGCAGGCAAGGGAATTTACAGCTCTGTTCTTCCTGTAGGTCTGGGACTCAGCCAGAAAGCTTCTAACTTAAAAGTGTAGTTTATTTTCTGTGCCTTCGTTCCCGGTAGGACAGTGCGCTTTCTACGCGGGTTGGTTTCGTGCCTTTTGTTCCTGAAAGCCTCTCATGTGTCTTGCAGCTACTCCGTCATCGTTGAGCTCGTGGACGACCGTTTCCAGGGCACGGCCCGCAGGCCATTCAGCTGGAGGGCGCTGGCCGCCCTGAGCAGGGTCTCAGCGAACGTCTCCAAGGTGACCCCGCGTGGCTTTGGCGTCTGTCTGCCCGTAGTGGAGTCAGAACGCCCTTGTAGGAACGTCACAGCGTTCCTGCCCTTGAAGTTCTGCATGATCAGGGTCTGGGCTGCCTCCCGTTGTCCGGGTGGACGTTGACGTGAAGCCGCAGGGATGGAGCCGCAGCGCTCCTGGGGGGATCGGACGTGGGCGGGCACTGCTGTCGCTGCCAGGGGAGGCCTCACTCTGTGGGCTGCAGTTCTTCACACTGGTGTGTGTGCACGCACACACACACACCTATTCCAAGGGAGTCAAAACCAGGACTGCCTGTCGTCAGTCTGCAGATTCTTGAAAGGGAGAGGAAGGGAGTTAACACTCAGTGCTCCCCGCCACAGCATGGCTCCTGGCATGAGGAGCTGCAGGGGTGCTGAGTAATCAGGTCACGTGGCTCATGTGCAGAACTGGGCCTCAGACCCCCAGCCGGGTGGCCTTTGACAGGAGGAAAGCTGCACCTTAGCAGGGCTGTCCTGGTGATCCCTGGGCCCCTGCCACTTTGTCCCCCGCTGCTGGGGTCTCAGCTGGGCTGGTGATAACCACCAAGGGCAGGAGACGTTGCCTGGGCTCGGCGTGGCCTAGGGAGCATTCATGGCACCTCCGTGTCACGTCCTCAGTGCTGTGTCCATCGTCGGCATGCTGGTCAGTGTTCACTGAACAGCGGGGCCTTAGTGAGGAAAGCATGCCTTGGCCATTAAGTTCTCAGGGGAATTGTGCCTGGGGCTTCCCTTTGTGGGGTGTCTGGGAGCCCACGCTGGGAAGAAAGGGAGGCCATGTGTGCCTCCTGCCTCCCCACCTTGGTGCTGTTGTTCTGTAGTGTTCAGAGTGTTTGTCCTCTCTCAACAGGAGCTTATGCTGTGTTACTTGATTAAACCCTCTACCATGACTGACGAGGAAATGGACTCCCCAGAATGTATGAAAAGAATCCAAGTCCAGGTGGGTAAACCCAGACGGTCACGTCGTCCCCCCGATTCCATGCATCATGTTACATCCTTCAAACAGGTGGTCCTGAAAATAAGTGGGAGCAGAAAGGCCTCTTGGCCCCATGGGCTGTGTCCCACCCCTTCCCGCTGAGCCCACTGCCCTCCCACTGTGCTGAGTCCCTGCCTCTTAGCCTGTGGCCTGGCTGTCTGTCAGTTGAACCTGGCAGTCTCTGACCCCCGAGCACCCCAAGACCTCCCATAAGGCTCACTCCCAGCGCCCAGAGTCCTTGGCAACTTTCTCTTGAACTTTGCATATGGCTTCCGTATGAGCTGAGCCCCCTCCTGTCTTTGTTGAGGTCGTGGTTGGATACCCCACCCCCGCAGGTGTAGCTCCGAGACATCCCGAGCTCCCGCCCACACCCAGTGTGCCAGGGCTTTCCTTCCATCTTTGTGCAAGTCGCCTTGCTCTTCACACTCCCCTGAACCCCACAGAGCCACTGCTCAGTCTCCAGACCCCAGCGGCTCCTCCCTCCAATTGGTCCTGCTTGTAAACTGCTGATCGAAGTCCACGCCTTCCTTCTCGGTGGCTGACATGGGCACACCAGCACCATCACAGGTGCAGTTCTGACATTAAGTGCTAGCATTTGGGATGGACATGTGGTGCCGGGGGCTAAGCCACTGCTTGCCATGCCCACACCCCATACAATGGCACCAGTTCAAGTCCCAGACCCTCCATTCCGATTCAGTTTCCTGCGAATGTATCCTAGGAGGCAGTGGATGTTTGGACCCTTGCCACTCACATGGGAGACCTGAAGTAAGCACCTGTCTCCTAGCTTCAGCCTAGGCTAGCCCTGGTTTTTGTGGGCATTTTCAGAGTGAACCAGCGGGTAGAAGAAGATCTCTCTCTCTCTCTCTCCCTCTCCCTCTCCCTCTCCCTCTCCCTCTCCCTCTCCCTCTCTCTCTCTCTCTTCCTCTATCCCCCTCTTCCTTCCTCTCTGCCATTCTGCCTTTCAAGTAAATGAAAATAATTTTGTTAATATTTGTTCATTTGAAAAGCAGTGTTAACAGAGAGAAGAAGAGAAATAAACAGAGAGCTTCCATCCACTGTTTCACTCCCCAGATGCCCACGATGGCTGGGGCTGGGCCAGGTGAAAGCAGAGTGGTGGCACTCCATCGGAGTCTCCCTTGTGGGTGCAAGGGCTCAGGGGCTTGGGCCATCTACCACTGCTTTCTCAGACACATTAGCAGGCAGCTGCGTAAGAAGTGGAGCACCCAGGACTCAAAGCACCCTGTATGGGACGCTGCCGTTGCAAGTGGAGTCTTAACCCACTCCACCATGATGCTACCTCCGAAAATGTTTTTTTGAAAGATTTGTCTTTTTCAAGATTTATGTTATTTACTTGAAAGGCACAATTACAGAGAGAGGGAGATAGAGAGATCCTCCATCCCCTGGTTCACTCTCCAAGTGGCTGCAACAGCCAGGCCTGGGCCTACAGCCAGGAGCCTGGAGCTCCATCTGGGTCTCCCACCCAGGTGGCAGGAGCCCAGGACTTGGGCCAACTTCTGCTGCTCTCCCAGGTGCGTTAGCAGGAGCGCGATCAGAAGCAGAGCAGCTGGTGTTCGTATTTATTACCTGGAATCGGCAGCCTCGTTCTGAATGGGCGTGGACAGCTCCCTGAGACGCAGCTGTGACGCCAGGCGCGTGGGCGGGTCCCTCGTTGCTGCTGTTGAGATTCAGCCCCCTTGTTCTTGCTGGGTTGCAGGAGGTGATTCTGAGCCGCTGGGTTTCTTCACGAGAGAGGAGCGACCAAGACGAGTTCTAACGGTTCACCCCCAGATTTCTGACTTCACCGACAGATACTTGTTGAGCCTCCTCGCTGCGCCGAGTTCAGGGCTGGATCAGGAGTCCTGTTGCTGGAATTGCCTGTTGATAGAGGTGTTAAGGGCATGCTGCTGCCAGCCCCCAAATTGTTAACAGTGTTTTAAAAGACAAGATTACGTCGGAGAGAGACGAGGCTGTGCTGGCCTGAGCTGACTGCTCTGTCCGCATCCGCTTGGCGGGGCCTGGAGGACTCTTCCAGAGATGGGGCTCCCCCTGCAGTTGCCTGGCAGCAGTAACCGTTGGCATTCCTACTGCACCGTTCGGTTTATAAAGCACCTTCGTCCTCACGGGTCTGGTTACCCACGTCTGCTCCCCTGCGGGGAGTGGACCCCGTGTTAGATTGTTTTCGGCAGGAACAGCAGTAGCACGTCTCGGGTGTCCAGGGAGCCCGTCCCCGTGCTGTGCCGAGGAACGCCTCTGAGGCAGCAGGCGCTGAACAGCTGCTCCGGACAGCACGCACTGTGCAGTCACATCTTGCTTCAGGGAATTTGTTACCGAGTAAATAAAAGTAAAATAAGATGCATGATAAACTGACGCGTGCTAAGTGCACCACAGCCTCTTTTTGACAAGGTAGAGAGCAGAGAAGATGCTGAGAGGCGTTGGGTGGAAACAGGAGGGCAAGAGGAGGGACGTTGCTCAATGGACACAGAGGGTGGTCACGGGTGAACGGGGGCCGAAACGCCTCCAGGGTCCAAGTTCCGCAAACTGGTGGGGTCTTCTCGGCGCTGAGGACCCCACAAGGGGCCCGCGGGGACATCTTAGGAGGCTGTGAGATGAGACAACCGGAACGGGCGCCTGTTGGCCTTGCCTAGGCCTTGGCCCCCGAACTGACCCACAAGATTCTGTCGTGAACACACATCCTAGTTGAGTGTTCGTTCACACCACAGCCCTGCTCTCGTTATGTCTTCGTGGTGCGACTGCACAGGTCTGGCGTTGCCAGCACAGCAGCTCTCCCCCAGACTCAGGCCAGGGGTGACCGGGAGTTGAGTGTCTTCATGGCAGGTGCAGCGCCCGGCGTCAATGATGCCGCTCACCTTCGGCGTTCTCACCGTCCTCGTCGCTTACTCTGGGCTGCTGTGCAGGGTCGAGTCTTTGCTTTGAAAGCCTTGAAAATCACAATACATCCAGAACCTTTGCTTTGCTGTTTCAATGGTCACTTGGTGCCGCTTTCTAAGCCCGGTGAGTGCATCTGGTGAAAGCTCCCCTGATCCCGGCCGCCTGGTGTCTAGGCTGCGGCGATGACGCGGTGTTGCGAGCGAGGAGGCACACACAGCTCTTCCTCGTGAGTGAAGGCCCCGGGTATCGTCCTTAGTCTAGGAAGCTGGGATTCCCTTCCTCAGGAATACGGTTTGGACAGAGTCCGGCAGCCACGCAGGCGTCCGCGTTCCCTGTGGGCCCTTGAGCGAAGATTGGTGCAGGGGTTTGGATGAGCCTTGCCCTCACGGTTCCCAGCTAACAGCAGTTTTAGCTTTACCTTCGGAGGCCTTATGTCTTGGCCCCTTTTCCTTATGAAATAAACATAGAAGATGGCTTTTGTTTAAAAAAAAAAACCACAGGTTTGTCCGAATTGCAGGTTTGCTTTGTGCTAGATCCACCTTGGGAAGATGTGGTGCTAAGGCTTTTGGCTGACCCTAGCAGATTCACTGTTTTCAGTTTTTTTTATGAGCTATGTTTGCATTTAGTCTTGTTGTGGGCTTTGTTTGTTTTTGGAAGTCAGAGTTACAGAGTAGGGGGGAGCTGGTTCACTCCCCAGATTGCCACAATGGCCAGCACTCGGCCAGGCCAAAGCCCTGAGCTTCATCCTGGTCTTCCATGTGGGTGGCAGGGGCCCAAGCACTGGGACCATCTTTTTCTGCTTTTCCCAGCCATCAGGGAACCGGCTCAGAAGTGGGATGTCAGTGGCACAGTCGGCTGCTTTACCCGCTCCCCCACAGTGCCAGCCGCCAGATTTGCTTTACAACCAGAATCCTGTCATGTTCTTGGCTCTCAGAGCATCTGTCCAGAGCCACCGGCTGTAGCGGCCTCGTGTCAGGATCCTGTGCACTTGCCACATTGCGACCTTGGGGAGACCTCACTGACCTTAACACACCATGCCCAAGGACACCTGGAACTTTGTGAAGCCAACAGTATTTTCACAAGTCTTGTCACTCAGTGCAAAAACTCATTCCCAGGTAGGAGAACATTTGCTTGGCCAGGATATCTTCTGTGGGTTTGTCTTTCTCCATGTGCTTATCCCTGGTAGCCTTTTTTCCACCACAGAGGATTCCCCAGGCCTCTGGTGCTCATCATTTCTTCTTCCTTAGCAGCTGTTTTCACTTAATAACGTGGCGAGGTGATTGCTACCACCACGCACCCGAGCAGCACGACAGCCCGAGCGTGTCCTGCACACAGTCCCGACGCAGCGCTGGAGTGATTCTGCCACAAACTCCTGCAGACTCGCTGTGTTTGCTTTGAGGGGGTAATTGAGGGTGGAGTGTCGTGCAGTCATGATCACGAACAGCAGGACTTGAGCTCAAGGCAGAGACCTTTCTAGTGTCGCCCCTGGCACCGCGGGAGCCTGGTGGCTTCTGCAGAATTCTCCCTGGGGCAGCGGATGAAGGGCTGGGCACCCCACATTGCAGGGAATGCCCTTTCCTTGCGCCCGCGGGAGTCCTCATGGGAGCTGTGACCCTCCTGCGGTCGTTTGGCAAACTCATGACTTGGAGGAGGAACCTCTAGGCTCCGCGGTGGTGGTCACTCAGGCACACCGACAGCCCCAGGGCTGCACCTGCTACACTTAGGAGCTTCTCAAGATCCCTGCGACTGCAGTGCCGGCATCTGATAGAGGCACAGCCGTGGTGCCCGGGGGCAGCTGAGGAGCCCTGTCCACGCAGCGAACACTGGTGGACGCCTAGAGGTGGGGGCTAGCCCGAGGGCCGTGTGCATGATTCTTGCTGTGAGCTCAGGAGGGCCACGGATCTCAGGACTGTGTGGATCCAAGGTTAAGAACTTAAGCAAGGTGGGGTGTGGGGCACTCACTTGGGCTTCCTCCAGAGAATCCTACTGAAGGCTGGGGAGCAGAATGCTCCTTCTGGAAGGGAACCACTCAGATCTCAGCTCCACCTCTCCCAGGACCCTGTGACCGTGGGGAATTCACTCGTCCTTTTCTGTGTAATTTTCAATTGGATCTATGACAGGCACCACGGGATGTTGCCGGCCCTTGTTTCTAACATGGGGCTGATTGCAACACCAACCCCATCTTGTGGTCCTGTTGGGAAAAGAGAACTCCAAGTACTCGCTGGAGGAGAGAGCAAACCCACCCAGCTGACCAGAGCCGAGAAGACACAGTGCCGGTCTCTGCCATGCGCAGTTTGGGTTGAGAGCTGATGTAGGTCTTGAAGTAGGCCGACCAGGTGGCAAAGGTGGGTGCTGTGGGGTGGGTGTGCCAGAGACTGCTGGGCACAGGGAGCAGCTGAGTGAACTCCATCCTGGGCAGGTCGCGGGCAGAGGTGGGTTGGAGTTGGCAGGATTTTTGAGACCCTGGGCGGGAAGAAGTTCCCTTGTTTGGGTGCCCTTGGCTGAGGGCGGGGCAGTCGAGAGCTCCCTGGTTTGCAGACAGGTTCTCAGGCCAGCACACCCAGCCTCCCACCCGCCCACCGTGGAGCCTCATGTCTGCTCCCTCCTCTCCCACAGGAAGGCACAGTTACTGACGGATGCGCTGTGAGAACGCTTCCATCCACAGATGGTACGGCGTAGCTGAGCTCAAGACCCTGCCAGGTGCACTTATCCGTGTATTAAAATCACACCCCATAAGTACGCATGGTGGTTGCCAGCAACAGACCAGGAAGCCGTGTCGGGGCGGGCATTCGGCCTAGCGGTTGGGACAGGTTGGTACCAAAGTACCTGGTTCCATGCCTGGCTTTGCTTCTGATGGCAACTTCCCGCCAATGCAGGCTCTGGGAGGCAGCCGTGGTGGGGGGCCTGGATTAGGTTCCCATTCACTGTTTAAGCCCCCAGCCTGGGGCCATCACAGGCATTTGGGGAGTGAACCAGCACACGGGAGTGCTGTTTCCCTGTGTCTCTCAAAACATTTAAAAATGGCAAGTGCAAGCCCAGCAGGTCACATACTGAGTGAAGCCATGCATGTGTTTGTGTGAGGTATCCAAGACAGGCAAGTCCTGGTGGAGAGGAAGGGGCGTAGCTGGGCAGGGGGGGAGTCTGAAGCCAGAGAGGGTGAGTGCGAACTTTTAAGAAATTTATTTTTACTTTCTCAGAGTCAGACAAAACTCTTCCATCACTGGCTCACTCCCCCAAATGCCTGAAAGCCCAGGTCAGCCCAGCCCGAAGCCAGGAGGGACCTCCTACCTGAGCCCGCACCGCCCTCCCAGGTGTGCGTTAGCAGGAAGCTGCCGTTAGGCGCCGGAGCCAGGTGTCGACCCTGGTGCTTCAGGGTGGGACGTGGACATCTGAACCGCGAGGCTGAATGCCTGCGCCCGCCCATAAATGCTGACTTCCCCCGTACTGGAACTGAGGTCCATTTCTACAAGTGAAATATGTTAACCTGCTGATTCATCTAGAAGATTTGATTTTTTTTTTTGTTAAGAACTGGAAGTGTTGAAAGTGTGTTTGCCATCGAGTGAAGTAGGGAAGCCTCACTTAGGAATCCGTCATCTAGATGCCAGCGTTGTGGTGCAGCCGGGTTCAGCTGCCAGGTGGGATGCCCGTACCCCACAGTGCGGGGTGCCTGGGATTGAGTCCACCTTCCTGCTAACCTGGGAAGCAGCAAGTGAGGGCTGAGAAAGCTGGTCCCTGCCATCCTCTGAGTTCCAGTGAATTCCACTGAGGCTCCTGGCGTCAGCCTGGCTGTTGCAGGCATTTGGAGAGTGACAAGGTAGATGAGATCTGTCTTTCAAACACTTTTTTTTTAAGATAAATATAAATTTACTCGAAAAGCATAGTGACAGGAAGGGAGAGACAGTGAGATCTTCCATCTACTGGTTGAGTTTCCAAATATCTGCAACAGCTGGGACCAGACCAGGGACCAAAGCCAGGAGTCAAGGACTCTACCCAGATCTCTGTGTGGGCAAAGACCCGACTATCTGGACAGTCATTTGCCACCTCCCGGACACATGAGCAGGAAGCTGGATTGGAGGTGGAGCAGCCAGGACTTGAATCAGGCACTCTGATACGGATGGCAGCATTGCAAGGGGCAGCTTAGCACACTGCATCCCAGTGCCCACCCCTCAGATAAATTTAGAGACCAAAACAGCCCTTTCCTGTGTGCTTTCGGAATTCCACATTCCCAGCAGGCAAAAGATGGAGCGAAAACAAGAGGACAGACTGGTGTTTTGCTGGTTTGAGCCACTGCCAATCCCGTTTGTGTCTAAGGGCTCAGAAGAGAGGAGAGGCCGTTTCCTGCGGGGTCCTGAGGCGGCTGTGTCTCATGTGGCCTCTGCTGTTGTGGACAGTCAAAGCTACCTCGCGCCTGCTCAGTGGGGACAGCGAGGGAGGTGCCCCCTCCCCTCCCTCCCCTCGTTCCCCTCCCTCCCCTCGCTCCCCT